ATTTTTACTCATGAAAAGTGTATCAATAGTACTAACCTGTCTGAAGAAATTTCCTGAGCTTTGCTTTTCAATGAAAACAAAATACAGGACAGTATTAGGCTGAAATCCTTTGCATTTTGAAAGGGTGATAAAACATGAATGCTTAAAACAAGATATTCCTGCCTTTCCTCTTAGTTAAAGAGTAACTACTGGTTAATTATTAGACCTTAAATAAATGACCATAACAAAATAACTGCCTCTGAACAATTCGCTTGGAGATTACATTACATTTCGGACACAATTCGTTTTCTCTAGTCATGTCAGGATAATTATACAACTTCGAGATATGGTTTACATAGTACCACTTCTGTCTTCCTTTTCGTGATATAGGTAGTAAACTTTTCCATCTATCCAAGACAGATGATAAGTCATTCTTATTGCATTTGTCTGCTGTTAATTCGACAAACAAGAATTTGGTTGTCAGTCTGTTCTCACGCGACTTAGAATGACAGTTCGTTAGATTAACTTGGTAGGAGGGAGAACGGGTTGACAAATGAATCCTTGTTTATCGAATCAACACCAAACACATGCAAAAAATGACCCATCACCTGTCCTGGATAGATAGGAAATTTTACTACTTATATCACAAAGAGGAAGAGAGAAGTGATACTATGTAAGCCACATCTCGAAGTTGTAGAGTTATCTCGTAGTCACATAAATAATAACACTGCAATACATCTGTTAAATCAACTAAAATGAAATCACATTCTGCTACAATACCTTAGTTTTACTCACATGTTGATCTTGACTATCAGCATCTTTATTTGTTCATGTGAGTAAGGAGATGGTGATATCACGAGGTCATTGTTGACTCAGTTTTAATTGCAGCACTTCAATGTAATATGATTGGTATAGAGAGGAAATGTTGATAAAATTCTAATTTCATTAAAAATAGTAAACCGATTTTAGGGTTCACTGTTATGAATAGTCCATACGCATTCAGTCTGCGTAATATGCTCTGTCCAATATAAATATAAGGAGCTGAAGGATTGCTTGCGCTTTAGTTTTCTGGTCCTGAATACTTAAAAGTAAATAACTTGGCAGTAGAAGCGTTTTGTACACTCAAGAAATTGAAGTGATATAGTCTTAGCAAGTGGAAATAAATGATCGCAATGTATCATAATAAAAGAGTGGATTGTATGTACACATTCATAGCTGAGATCTCTGTGCAATGGACTTCATGCTTCTGATCTGCATCATGCTAATGTTCGATACTAACCAGGAAAATCAAGTGTATCATTATTTGTCCCTTGATTTCCTAGTGGAACATAGAGCTTCAGTAGCACATCTCCATTGCACTCTTTTCTGGGCAGTCTTTTCAACATGGCTACACCACTGCCCAGAAGCTTTCATTTCTTCCTCACACCATCTCCTCCATGTCACCCCAGCCTTGGTAGCCCAACTAGTCGTTTTCCCTTCGAATTCCACTCGACGGTTTGGCACGTGATGTCTCCGAATGGTTTTCTCTGCGTATTTCCAATCCATCTCTACTTTCTGCTTCTGCATATTTGTTAAGCGATGAGTTCGTAGTTGGTTCATTGCCAGCCAGGGTTCCTCATTGCTTAGTCCTCCTGGTCATCTGATCTTCAGCAGCAAGCGTAGGCAGGTGTTGATGAATGTCTTCAGTTTGTTGGAAATGCTTTTCGTAACACGCCAAGTCTCTCAACCATCACATGAAAGCACTGACTTGACTGAATTCGAGTTGAAAATTCGGATCTTGTTCCACATGCTGAGTTGAGTGAAGTGCAGTAGATCTTCACACTGATCCCCACAGATTAATGAAGGCCTATCTAGCTGTATTTCCGATTCTGGCTTTGACACCTTCATTTGTGCCAGTGCCACCCCTGTAGTTGAGACGATGCTGCTTAGGTAGGTGAAAGGGACAACTTCCTTCACATTTCTCCCGTTGATGGTGATTGGCGCTTGTTGTTGTTGTTATTATTTGGGTATCTTCACCACCTGTCTTCTCCGCGTTCACCAGAAGGAAGTCTCGTCTCTGCTGTCCTGCCTCTTCTGCCAACCTGTTAGTTTTTGCCTGTAGATTTTCCAGTTTGTGCGACATTAGACGTAAATCATCATCGGCGAAATCCAAATTTTCTAGTCTTTGCATCAGTCAAATAGCATATGCCCATCTTCTCGCTTCCTGCAGTTTCTTGCATGATCCAGTCCACTCAACTACAATCAAGAAGACCATCGGTGTTAGTAGGCGACAACCTCGTCTTACTCCTGTCTCCTACCTTCACTTCACTGCAAAAGCGTCACTGAGCTTTCCATTATGAATCACTTGACAAGTAACATCATATAGCATATAGCTGTTGAATGAGATTGATGAAGGTTTGTGGTAGTGAAGCGTAGTGTTGAAGCAGCTGCCTGGTAAATTATTTCTCGGTCGACGCTGTCGAAGGTTTTTTCATAATCGGTGAAGTTGAGGTAAAGATCCAATTGACTGCCATTCTATGCTCTGTTCTGTGACGACGTGTAGCGTAGAGTAGCAATTTGATCCGTACGTGATTTGTTCTTGCTGAAGCCAGCCAGCCAGCATGTTCCGGTCGCAAGTTTGAATGGAGAGCATCTTTTGGTCTTTCCATGATGATGCGGCCCAATATTTTGCTTGCTTTGGATGAACAGGGACAGGAGAGTGATTCCATGTCAGTTCCTGCAAAGACGTTGGTCATCCTTGTTTAGGAGTTTGATAATGTAGCCCCTCTTCCAATCTGAAGGTACCTTTCCTTCCTTCCTTCCTTCAAAACTTGCTGCAATGGTGGTGTGAGTATGTCTGCTTATATCTCCGAGTCTGTTTTCAGTGCTTCTGGAGGAGTTCCATCTGGTCCCACTGCTTCCCAGGATTTCAGTAACTCTATGGCATTCAGGACTTCACTTTTGCTTTTGTCGGGGGTTTATGTTCACTGACAGTTCTGTGGCTGAGGTGCTTGTGGCATTTGTGGAGTAGTTGCAGTTGGTGGTGTGGGTGGTCGATTCAAGAGTTACTTGGGGTAGCCAGCCAATTAGTTGCCCTGTTTCTCCTCTTTGGTGGTAACCAGGTTTCCTTCCATATCTCTCATTGGTTTCATTTGTGCTGTGTTGATCTCTTCCCAGATAGTAGGCTGGTTGTTTGATACAGTGCTGTCAGGTCTCTCCTACCAGCAGCCTGTTCTGCTCCACATGTCAGTGTATTGTAGAAGTGTATCTTGTCTTTGCGCACACCCTTCTTCACTTCTCTGTCCACTGAGGTGTTCAGTTCTTTTTTCCGTTATTCATCCCTGCTCTGCACTGGTTCATCTTCTGCTTCACCATCCTCCTCTCCCTCCTCTATCAGCTCTCATGTGTTCGTCGAGATCCGTTCTCTGTCTTCTTTCCTCTTCCTTCCCGATACGCTTATGTAGGTTTTTTTTCCACATGGATTTCAGAGTATTCCAATGTTATTTCACACAGGTTTCTCCAGGCATGTTGCTTAATGTCTCTCATTCTGTCTTGTTGGCTGACTGACGTGAAGATGTCCCTTGTAGTTTCGTCCTTCACTCTCTGTTCTGGTTGTTGGACTTGAACTGTGGTCTGTGACCAACTTCTGTGAGGGCTTTCAACTTGATTCTGAGGGTAGGTCTCTTACACTAGATAGTGAGTGGTGTGAACCTACACCTGCTCCTCTTCTTCATCTTGTGTCCAGTAGGCTGCCTCTCCACTTTCTTCACATTCAGATGAAGTCGATCGCATTTCAGTGTGTCCCAGTGTCTGGTGAAATCCATATCGCTTTGTGAATATCCTCGTGTTTGTAGATACTGCTTCCAATCACCGAATCGTTAGATGTGCAGAAATCTGCAGACTTCACCACTGTGATTTATTTCTCTGAGTGCCTCTCGACCCATGATCAGTTCTCTTCCTGTGTTGTCTGCTCCCAGTTTGACACTCACATCATCCCCTCATTAGAATTTTGATGTGGCCATCTTGCATGGTGTCTTGTCCACTACTGATTTCAGTTGTCTGTAGAATCCCTCCTTCTTCTCTTCATCTGCATTATTTGTAGGTATGTAGCGTAGCACTGTATGATTGACTTTCCATCCTTTTGAGTTGAATCCATCTTGCTGTCATGATTCTGGAAGAGGTTTGTTCCCAGTGCTTGAGAGCCTTCAGTGATGTTGGATACATCATGATTGCCACTCCAAAACTCATTGCGGCCATGGTCGTCGTCTGGAGGACAATTTCGAAGCAGAGTATTGACTCTCCAGTTGATATTTTGAAGATTCCACTTCCACTCCATCAGCTCTCGCAGACTCCTTACGCTTCTATCCCATATCTTCTCATTTCTTTTGCAATCTGGACAGCTTCAAATATGGTGCGGACATTCCATGTCCCCATTCTTACTTTCGCTTTCATTGAGAGGAGAGGAGACACATCGGCGAAGTGGCTTCCTGAAGGCTTTCACCAACTGATGTCATTTCTTCTCTCCGATTCCAGTGAGGAATGAGTTCAATTTTGTTTTTATATTTTGTTTGTGCTATGAAGTTTTTTCAGCTATTGAACTGGTTTTACGGGGTAGGGTTGCTAGCCGTATGCCCAACCTTTCTTCTTTATCCATGCTTAGGACTGCTGGTAACCAGTGAACTAGTTTATTAGGAGAGGCTATATACATACGACAGAATAATTACATAGAGTATATTAACAAACTCCCATCAAACCAGTCCCACTCTAACTACAATGTCTGCCAAATTCTCATTAACGTCTCTCTTTTTCATATTTATTTCCGGAAATCTGATTCATTGCACCTTAGTAGAAGAATGATAGATATTACAGTTCGCATAGTTAGTATGTTTACATGGAGGTATGTGCCATTAATTGATGTCAGCTAAGAAAATGGCTCTAGTTCATGCGGTTGTCATATATTTTAGATACATATATTAGTTCATATATATTTATTCTATGTATAGACAGAAAAATATTTTATTTTAAAAATACTTTTTTGATAGGAGGGCTTACTACTTCAGACGTGGGCATTTCTACGTGAAGCCAACCGTACCGCATTCGAACAATTAAGACAACTTTCTCACCTTCTTCAAAGTTTGAACTTGGATTTACAAACAGTAGAACGTTCGGTTTATAAAGTACACAGAAAGCATAGATTCAAATTAGAAGCTAATGATCTTATGCTTTGGGACAGTGAACGTTTATCAACAAATAAATATTCATCTTCAGATAGATCTAATGGATTATGCATGGATAGTGAGGAACATTCTCGTATGTTGGACAGAGTTAGTCGCTTGGGTAAAGAATTTGTACGCCTTTTCAGACAAAGTATCTTATTTCGAGATATCTCTTTGGTTCCTGGGTCAGATTTCCACATACATCTTGTGCGCTTATTTTTTCTTCGTGTTGTTGATGAACTTGATCGCCTTGCTAATCAACTACTTCACAATGATCTATTCTCTGATGTGACTATGCTTGACTTACAACGTAAAGCCCATCAGTGCAAACAGAGCAACGATGAAATAATGTACAATGATACAAGTTGGGAGAATCAGTTGGAACAATCACAATTAACTGTTGCTAGTGAAGATATAGCTAGTCTACAAGCTGTACTGCTGTCAACTGATTCGCAGTTTAAACAGCTGAGAACTATATTTTCAAAATTAGTTTCTGATAATCGTGAATTGATTGAGACTATTCCCATTAATCGAGCTAACCTGAATGCTAAACCAGAAAGTTTATCAGGGTAGGTAATTATTGATTTCATCGATTCCCCTCTGTTACATTTATGTCTTGCTAAATATGACAGTGATTTTTTAAAGCGGTAATTCTGATGTTTCAGTTTCCGTTGCATTAAAAAAAACTATAAATCCGTGTTGTTGGTAAGGCTTTCTGATCTACAGATATGTCTGGATCATAAAGAATTCAAAGTAGTGCATCAGAGTGAGAATATGAAGTAGAAATGTGGAGGGGAATGAAGTAACTAGGCATTCCAGTATTTACCTCGTTCTACATCACACATTATTATTCTGAGTATTACAGATTTTGACTAGCTCGTCGTTGTCCATATTTTTTACGCAAAAATTATTCAAGTTTAATGCAAGGATGGCTATTTACCATTTTTTTGAAAAAGTTAAATGTTTTTCTGCATATCTATTCCCTTAAACTGGATCCCAAATGGAGTTCATCCAAATGTAAACGTCATTTGGAAATAATCTGAATCTTTAGGCAAATCTTACCGTAATCTATATCAGACTCCTTCTTTACTTTTTTTGCAAGCAAAGGATACTCAAAGGTAAAAACTATTTGTTCTTTTACTAAATTCATTTACCACTAAAGATTTGAGTAAAGTTACGCTAATGAATTTGTAACCACTTCAGATGTTTTTAGAGTGCCATCATTTCAATAGACTTCTCAGTGACTACTTTGATGTTATAAGTAAATGCGAGTACTTAATTACTTAAAGCAATCTGTGTAGATTGTTTGACCTCGAGTTTCAACAGTTGAGAATAAATGTCAAAGTGAAAGACCAAGTTTTACTCAAATTGATTTGTAAATATCGATTAAATTTTCTATGCTTTGTTAGAATTGAGATTCCCATAAAACCCTTATAGTTCTACTTTTAACTGTTATTTATTACTGAAATGCTTGGTTAGTCATGTTTTCTGTTATTAAATTGGCTTACTGTTGATAAATCGCATTTTATTTTTTCTCTTTTTATACATTTTGGCGATAAATTCCAGCACAGAAGTGGGGTAAGTAAGTCTCATTTGGTATGTTCAGTTTTTTTCTAATTCATTTAATCAAAACTTTAAAAACTAATTTTATTTCTCAAAATTTGCGAAAATCGAAATTTATTCGATTGAACTGTTTGAGTAACAAGACTATGAACTATAAATTTGGTTTATTCAGCTTTCAAATACCTTAGTATAGAGAAATAATGAGGTTTTTCACCTACGTAACTTATGATATTCTTTCCTTATTTTAAATAATTAATCACATGAAACTAATTTAATTAAATACATTTGATTGGTGGCAGAAAAAACAATTAAATTCGGGTAAGATATTTATAACATGAGCATTTAATTCAAGTTTTCTAATTCCTTGTGCGATGTTCTCTGACCTCAGATGAAAATGCAGTAGCTTACATGTTAGCAAGTCTCAATAACGCAGAAGCACGAAATTGACAGAAGTAGAAAAATACTGAAATAAGCAAACAGAGTACTACAAGAAAGAGAACAAATGTATAAATAGTAAGAAGACATTAAGGATTTTAAAAAGTCAGCACGCTTACGCTACTGTGCTCGGTTTTAAGCTTTTGTGACTAATTAGCACCTGCTGTTTCCATAACTCATTATCACTGTTTTCATTTTTGTAATGCATAATTCTTACTTTATAACCGTTCGAAGTGTATCAGAAGTAAGGAAACAAAAATGTGTATTTCTAATTCACATTCTCATACAGTTTCTAGGAGTAATGCAGCTGGTTAATTAAATTTTAATCAAATCGTACTAAGGGTTTCCTAAAATTATTTTACAGTTTCTTTGATGCGATTATCCACGGTAATTGCTCAAATAGCAGTACGCGCAAATTCGTCTTACTGATTTGGTTTGAAGTTAATAAAATCATGTCCATACAGTAATTACTGTATTGTTTTTCTTTGGAACTTTTCTCTGATGATCAATAATGTACACCCAGTAATCCAACTAAAGCCCAACTTTGTAGTGGAGCAGTCAAATAACAAGTATTCAACACCTTTACAAAGATTTCCGCTTTATAAACTTCTCATTACTCAATCAAAGGCACACATCTTTTTGGAAGGCTACAACTGTTCCCCCTAACTCTTTGTATCATTGAAATACTTCCTCTTTTTCAACCTCATGGAATTCCATGCAAAAATGCTATAGAATCTGGCAAGATTGTAATCTAGACCCATAGTTAAATTAGTTGTGGTATTTAATTTCCTGAAACTGAATTCTGAAAATTTTCATGTGTTGTATTCATCATCAACTGATATTAGCTGGAGAGCCATTGAAAACCTGGGGGTACTGTACAGCTATTTTGTCCTGGTACGTGTCTCCTCAGCAAAAAATGTATGCACGCTGGTCAGCTTTGACGGAAGTGATTTTTGTTCATTATATACATACCATCCTTGTTGCCCTTTCTAACAAATCAGTGGTTAATTTATTTTCTAAACAAACAATGAGGGCGATGACAGAAACGATATCCAGATACGAGGTACCCTGTTATCTAACTTATTACAAAATCTTTATTATTCATGAAGAAGGCTGTTTTGCCAATTTAGGTCTTGAAAGAAGGATCGTGAAGGCTACCCAAATCCAAATGATAAGTCCCATCTTCTAGTTTTATTTTGAATGGGAATGACGCAGGCTTGTAGACAAGCAGTCATTTTTGAAATGCACTTAGAATACCTGGATTAATTTTTGCCAAAAAACTTAAGCTTTTGAAAAGTAATTTTCATGTGCAGTTGTATTTAAAAGATATCAAGAGTTGTTTTATTCTGCAAGTGTCTTTGCTCTTGCTTCATTCACATCTGTCAAGGTAATTAAACGTGTGGTAGTTTCCCATTGGTTAAAAACTGATGGTGACATAGCCACAACTAAACAGAAGAAGCAGGAATATATTCATTTTTATATCTTATTCTAAATGAAGGATAACTCTTAATCTTCCATGCATTTGTTTGCTTGTTTCTCATATCCTTCTGGTTTATTTCTGTATTTTCCTACCACAATTAGTTATCACCACTTTCCTGCCACAGAGCGTGGTAACTCTAACCAGTTGAATTCTGCGCAAAATTCTTAGTTGCTCCCCCTGTCAGTGTTGTCGTAAATCTTTCATAAATATATTTTTCGAAGATAGACAGATGCGACTCTGCACAACAGTCTACCAATTTCAATTTATACACTTTACTAGAATACAGGAGGAATAAGCCTATAGAATCTGGAGAAAAACTACGAAAGAGATTATAATTTGGTGAAGGTCATTAAAATGTTTAAAATTTCCCTACCGAACAGTAAATAAATTTGTACTATCGCGATAGATTTTCCGCCTTCTGATAATGGCTCTGAACATGTAGGCTATTTTGTATGTGCTTACTAGAGATCGTCGGTAAGATAATTATTTTATCAAAATTTGTAAATCGAACTAGCTGTTTCAAATGGCAGTCGATATAATAAAGGGACAAATTGTTAGTTTAATAGGAGAATTACAGATCAAAAGATAACATACTATCCTAATCACTTGATATTTTAGCTGAGTTATTAAGGGATGTTTAATGTAAGAGTGGATCGCTTTTGAAGGCAAAGAAGAAGTCCAATCTTCTTTATGGGTATACCATCAACAAACGTGAGTATTTGTCCTAAGTGGTCTTGCAAAATTCAGTGGAAAAGTGCATTCAAACCAACCTTGTGGTTTTTTCGGTGATATAACTGATTACAGACGAGGTTGGACATCCACTGTCTGTGTCATTAGGATTACTCCGACTGTTCTGTTGTTGCAGACATTTTGAATGTGTTCAATGGGCCATGATTGCACAGATTGACGGGCTCACTGTGCGTAAATGTAAACTAATAAACTTGACCGGATGAGACCTCACTGTTCAAATACTGTCAGAGTTTACAGGAATGAACAAACCTATTAAAAAACAGTTATCCTTTGAAATTTATGAATCCTAATAGAAAGATATATTGTTCAATTAGTTCTAAAGGAAGATGTCTGTATCACATTGCCGCATATAGGAGAGTCGCGGAGTGAAACAAACAAACGAAGACTTAAAGAAGGGAATATGAGAACATTCTATGCAGCAAAGGTTAAAATCATGGAAAAAAGGAAACTTATGTATTCTTGTAAATACTCGCAGAATTAGAATGATGATTCAAAAATAATTTTTAGTCAGATAGTTAATAAAGTTATCCTAATTAATTAAATTTAAGTGCTCTTCATATAACATTGTGAAGCGTCTCTATTATTCCCCACTAGCTTTCTTTTTAAGATGTGCCTACATATCATACGATAATTATGGATATATATATATATATATATATGTATATAAATCACGAGGAAAGGTTAGAAAACTTGGTGAATAAATCCATAGTTATAGTTATTACTAGTATTACTTTATATTTCATTACTAGTAATCTAGCAATAACAAATGTAAGCGTTGAGTTGATTTTCAACACATCCTTGATTAGCTTATTCTTTCTTGCTATTTTCCATTCTTCTTTTCTCTTTTTTATGCTCTGCTCTGGTGTGTATTCATCATACACACACACAAATTCTGTATATGTACGTGCATATAATGAATGAATGGAAATTAATTAATTCATTATTTAACAATGTTAACAATAATGAAAACAAAATACAAAATATATGAATGAATATAATTAATTTTTGAAAAAAATATTTTTAAAAAAAAACTACAAATAGACTAGTTTCCATTACTATACAGTTGACACGAGACAAAAATCGTCTTATACGTTTGGAGTCAGTACAAGCAATTTACAGTCCTATTGGTAAGTGTAATGTTGATTATATATAAACATATTTGTTCTCTTTTGTCCTTATGTTTTCTTTTTCACTTACGAAGAGTGTATAGATGTATTTGTCTTTCACTCTATTGTTGCCTATACACTGATTACAGTATGACTGATTAAACTGAATTACCAGGTAACAGTTTTCAATCTATGTTAGTTTGCCTTTTATACCTTAGAATAAGTTGAATCTACGATAAAAAACATTTAAACTACTTTTATCATCAAGTGATGTTCATTTCCCCTTTACTTACTGAACATTGTATTATTAACTGAAAAAGTCAACTAAAGTTGAACATTCAAGGGTTGATAAGTATATCTATTACCAGACACTGTTTTGCATTTGTAATCCAGCTTTATAGATGATCACTTATGGTCTGAATTGCTTCGTGGTAACATATATGACCTTTTTAACTCTGCGTAACATAACATCTGCAAAGCAATGCCGGTTTGGTTGTGTTTTAAGAAATACCTCTCTGATGAGTGCTAACAAGAACAAAACATAAGTCACAGGTTACATACTGGTTCGCTACCAATATCTAACACAAGAGTGCATTATGCCACAATGTCATGTCAGTTAACCCAAAGATCAAATTGTATATTTGATCTCAACTTGGTATAAATCACGCACTGGCATCATTTGGAGAACCACTGAAAACCCGAAATCGCTAAACAGCAGTTTCGTGCAAACACAAGATTGTCTGCAGTGTGCACTCATGAACCCACTAGGGATCAAACCCAAAGGCTTCAGTTTTCGCAGTTAGAAAACTTGATTGATAGACCTCTTCCTGGACTGAGTGCTTTAAACTTGCCTACCCAACCAACTAGGTAACCTTTTTGGTGACCAGTTTATGTAAACAAAACTCACACCCTGAAAATTGAGTTCTCTTACAGACTATTATATTTTGAAGTTGAATATCTGTACGACGTGAAGCATCTTGTTATGACAGCAAATCCTTAATCTTGTCTGTTTACGTTTGTAGCCTTGTCAAACTGGCGATTATGCAAAAAGGTTTCATGCTGTCAAGAGTGTCTGCATGTATGTAAAACCTTTGTAAAAGGATGTTAAGAAGGATTCCTATTTTCAAACGCAATACCTAGCTAAGTAGAAGGAAATGTGGGACGTTAATGAATCTTTAAAACAGTTTGTATCCCACCCACACGATCTCTGAAATTATTTTTATATAACAAAATTCCGAGTTCAGTAATATGGTACAGTTTTAGACAATGACTTACTCCCTAAGCATCTCAGCAATGTAACAATTTTCTTAAAAAAAAATAATGTTAAAGACCTTAAGAAGTAGAATGAATTTTTTGAGATACTTATGAATATCAGGGGTGCCAAACGTATGTGTTTAGACTTACAAATAGTTGGTTTCTATATGTGACTTACATGTTAGTCTTAGTGAAATTATCTTCTAAGACTAGTATTCATATTCACGCCATTCAGTAAAGTGATAACAGTATCCTTGTTAGTACTCCAATTTCTTTGATAACACTCATCATGTCTACGATTTCCAGCTGTATTTTACTTAACCTTTTCTCAGAAATGAGTTTGATTAAACTTAACAGTTTAAAAGGTGGTATGACCTTGCACTGGTTCCAGCTACTAAAAAGTGCAAGAAAATTAACTAAAAACTAGTATTTCTGAAGAAGTACAGGAAAAGTAACAGAAAACTAAAATAAATAAATTTCCGTCTATTAGTCCACTGAATAATGCAAGACATCTTCCCTGCAAAATAAGTAACTCTGCTAATACCGTCAAATATACCACTGTGGTCCACATTACTGGTTGATGATTTCGTATTTCTTGTACAGCCAAATTATCACGTTAGAGTAACCGGTAGTTAGAATATTTGCTGGAAATGTTACCGTGTAACTAACTTCACACGAGGATGTTGTGCATTTTATGATTCGACTACCGAAATTACAAGAATTTAATAGATCCTTTGTCATGGTCTAAAAGTAAAGATCAGCAATGAAAAATTCACTTAATTCAACCTGCAAGCTCATCATTTCACTTGAATTGTCTGTGTTTTTATAATTACCAGCTATGATACATGCTCTTTCTTACATATATATAAATATATATATATATATATGTATATGTATATCATCATCTAAAACTGTCACTGCTTTCTTTTTTCAATCATTTAACCCTTTACTTCAACTATTTTTGTTGATTATACAATTTTTAACTTAGCTGAATTACTGGATCTGATCGTGTCCGGTTTGCTGCTGGCATTTCTATCCATTTTTCTTGTAAATATTTGTGTATCGAAACCTAATCATCCAGATGCTTGTTATTCTGAATGCTGTTGCTGTTGTTCTCCAATGGTCAGCAAATCTACTGACTTCAGTCAAGATGAACAACCTAAACTAGTAAATCATACTATTGTTTCTACACCTGCATATGGTAACCATAATTCCTCTAATGTGGATTTCAGCAGACAGTTGGCGAAATCCAGTACGATACCTTACGTGAACCATAGTGATTTAGTACCAGTCACTATCTCACAAATAAAGACCACATCTAATTCAGTCTACCTGTGCAATTCACGGCAGAATGATGCAGTTATCTCAACAAGTAGATGCATATTATCTCCCAGTTTAGCATCAACAAATGTAAGTCTTGAACTTTCAAAAACAGAAGAATGAATTGTTTTTAAATGGGCTTTTAGTCCTGAAATCAGCAGGAGGCTTATTATTTTAAACCTCATTGGGAACTCTAACATGGTTATGGCTTAGTAAGCACGTTACTATATTCTTCATAAAAGTTTCACCTTACTCAGGACACAGCAAAAGAATCCAGCATGCAGTTTCAGTCAGCAGAAAGTACTTCATCAAATGCTTCTTAAGTAGCTTATCATACATCAATGTTACAGTAAAAGATAGAATGCATTTTAGTGTTTTATATCTTAGCAACTAATATAAGTTAGTCACTCAACTCTAAATATATATTCAGGATTAAAGATGAAAGATAATCACAAGGTATCTTTCTAATAACATCTATCAAAAGTTTGAAATGAAGCTGCCATTCACAACATCATGTGCAATCAGCGTTTTCCAAGATGTTCTCTTGAACAAAACTCAAACAATGATATCTAATTTCACTGTCAAATGTTTTACTTCTTATTTAATTGATAAGTCTCTCATTTGTACTGATATCAATATTAACTTGTTTATCACTGCATCAAATAAAAGTCCCTCCCTTTGTATTACATTTCTTTCTTGACATAACAAACAGTATAATTTAAGATAGCATTCATCACAGATTTACTACTACTTCTACTACTACTATTACTACTGCTGAAAACAAAAGATGCTAGTTGATAGGACTACAATACTCATTTGTACATAGTTGTGTGATTACTTGAATATGAGTATGCTCAATAAGTTGTGCTCGGAAAATCCTCAAGTAAATAATACTACAATATATTTTGAAGTCACTAAAGATTTTGTTTAAGATAGCATTCATCAGGGACTGGTATCCGTTTAGAATGGTTTTCCAAATCTTATCAATCTGTGATGAATGCTATCTTAAATAATACAATATCACTGTATGCTATCGGAACTAAAGAAATTTAGTGTGAAATTGCATTCTACCATTATACCTAAGTTTTCCACCTAAATTCATGCATCCTTTCTCTTCTTCTTAGATTGTTGACGTCACTGTTTCAGGTTTTTATAAAATTCAGTTTATCTCACTTAACATACTGTTCAACACTAAAAATAGATTCTTCATCGATGATTAATTATAATCACTTTTTATAAAATAATTTAGTTGGTATAAAACGGCGGACTTGATGAAGAGCCAAACCACTAGTCTCATTTCATTTATTAAGTATGTTCTTGATGGAACAGTTTGTATAAAAGGCACAGTTGATAGTCTCACTGGCTTGACAAGAAAATCATTGAAGACTTTAAGTGACATTTAATGACCACTATGGCGACTGCTGAAGTAACTAATCAGATTTCGGAATTTCAGCTGATGAGGGGGTTTTTCATAAAGTAGAGGAACGTATTGGTTATATTGACAGTTGTTAAAGTAACCTTTAAACTAGTCACTCCAAGATTTTCATAAAGCTCTATGGATTTCGCTTCACCGTTACTGAAAAGTTTAAGTTCTGGAAAATGATAGGCATTGAGTAGCATGTGATGCGTTTGATGAGAAATGGTAACCAGTATTGCTCAATGATAGCCACAACATACCCAGCTACCTACCGTGTGAACCAAAGTCTTGTCGTTAACAGATGCGTAACAAGCCTTTTCAACTTGATATGGTGACCATGACATAAATTTTGAAGAAATTATGCTAGTCAATATTAAGATTTTACTGGATTGTAGAGGTAAGCTGTTTGCACTTGATATGATGTGGGTTTATATGTTAATGAACGGCTAACCGATAACTTTCAATTCTGTCATAGAGGATCGTTTAATTTGTTTGAAGTAGAGGTAGCCGTAACGTGAAAATTGTAATGTCAGTTTTCACCAAGCGAAACAATACAATGTCACTTTAATATATTAATAATGACCTTCCGTATTTTCAGGCCTTCCCAGTTAGCTGGTTTCTATTGTCCTCGTTTTACTGATCAATTTAGTATTCACATGTATGATGAAGTATCTTTATTTAAGAGTTCGGGATTCAGAGATTGGTTATGAAGGTTTTGGGGAATTTTTGGGTAATTGAAAGCGTATGGGTAAAATATGGGACATTGCAACAGTATTTTTTATTATTGTCAGAAAATTTTCTCCGACTTTTCTACTGGCAATCCATTTTCTTCAGCTATCTGAACAGATAACCCCATCAAAACAGTAAACGATACTATAGTCTGATATATCAGTAAATGATTCTATGAGGGTCAAAGATAGCAAACTGAGAGTTTTTCCATTTTAGTCTCTTTATTAGAAATACCACACAGTGAAACAGCAGCATTTACTGGATAATGTTTCGGACACAATTTGTTGTCCCTATTCATATCAGGTAACTCCACAACTTCGAGACAGACTTTATATATTCCTAATTTTCTCTCCTTCTCTGTGATGACGATAGTAGAATATGGACAATAAATTGTATCCAAAACGTTATCCAGAAAAAGCTACTGTTTGGCTGTGTGATATTTATAATAAAGAGTCTAAAATGGAATTACAATCCACCACAGTGACCAAGAAGGACGTCAAAGCCAGGATCGGAAAAGCAAGACAGATGTTCATTAACCTGAAACCACTGTGGAGATCTTCTGCACTCATCATGAAGAGCAAGATTCGGATTTTTAACACCAACGTCATGTCAGTGCTTCTTTATGGTTCAGAGACTTAGCGCGTCACGAAGAGCATCTCCAACAAACTACAGATATTCATCAACAACTGCCGCCTACGCTTGTTACTGAAGCTCAGATGGCCAGAAAGAATAAGCCACAAGGAACTCTGGCTGGTGACGAACCAACCAAGAACCTATCACCCAACAACTATGCAGAAGGAAGTGGAGATGGATTGGGTATGCATTAAGATGACCATTCGGGGATATCATGCGTCAGGCCAGGCCCTCGAGTGGAACCCTGATGGGAAACGACGAGTTGGTCGTCCGCGGCCAGGCTGACATGGAGGAGATCGTGTGAGGAAGAAATGAGAGCTACTGGGCTACCGTCGAGCCGGATTCAAAAGATTGCAGAGAACAGAGTGCAGTGGCGATGTACTACTGAAGCCCTATGTTCTACTAGGAACCCAAGGGACAAATGATAATGATAATAATATACAGCGCTCAAGTTGCACTCTTACATTAATAAGAATTTTTATTTCGAATTGTAAAGGAAGTATGGGAGGGTAAATTAGTGTATCCACAGCATTTCTGATTAATTTGTTTCTTAATACATTTTATTTCAGTTAAATAAACTTTTACATTAACTTTAACTTACATCATGTGTTCGGTAAAAATAAACTCATCTTTAAATTCTTTTTTAGAATAAAACAAATTCAAAATCTACTGTGGAAACATGCCAACATAATCACAATCTGCGTTCAAATGACACATCCAGATATTTTACACACAATTTATCCACTGTACCGGGATCTTCAGTAACATTTCCTAAATGGGAAAGTAAAGCTTTACGAATCGACTTAGATAGCTTTAATTGTATGAATCTATCTGGACATCATTCAAGCGCTCAGTGTGAAGGTGAACAATCCCATTTAAATATAGGTGAGCAAGGCTATCCAATTCCTCCATTTATCAGTTTTGTTTTTAATTTTGTTCATAATAAATCATTAACGAATTCAGTATTTTCTTTCATTGCTGCAGATCTTTTTCAGAATAATTTCATGATAAAATTATCCTTATCTTCACAATATCCTTTTTGTATACTTAGTATGAAACAAAATACTTTTTTAAAAATGGATTCTATGAACCTATATTAAAGTTGCTGCTTTATAGCTTATCATGAACAATTATCATTTCCAGTTCTTACACGATCTATCTTTTTAAAGGAGTGATTAAAGTAGTCAGGCTCTCTAAAATACAACTAGTATTATTCTTCTAAACCACTTGAAGATAGTACGCTTCCTGTATGTGACAAAGAGTTAAAAGTTTTAGCTCATTTGACTACAAGTAACATAAAGCACTAATCGTTTCCATACATTTGGGTGATAACTGAAAGTTTACAATGAAATTCACAAGTATGAAATATCACTGCTTTCAGAAGCTTGAATAAAATGTATCACAAGTTAAAAATTATTCACAAAGTGGCACAAATTTGCCACCGTTGAAGTGTGACATTTTTGAGAAAATATACATACTTAAACTAGTATTTGCCTACAACATTTGGCTGTTGAATTTTATTAGCTGCAGAAGTATAAATCACATTTGTCGACATTAGACAATTAATTCGTCTACGCAACTTATTTATTTGAATGATATCAGCATGGTTAGCGGATAGTTTTGTGATGAACAGTATGAATCATAATGTTAAGTTGAACGTATGGCTCACTGTAGCCTGGTATACTCTATGAATATGACCATCATCGAGTGATTAAATTGAGGCCATAAACATTAAACAGGCTTCATCATGATATCATAGCACTGAGTTCCAAAATGGATTACTTCTTTTGACATAAAGCATTTGACCAGGATATCATACTATATTCTCCACTATTACTGGAAATAGTTTTCTTTCCTCGGAACAAATAAATGAAGTAAGTTAAGAAATGGTAATGTATAAATTCACTTAGTGTGAACAAAAATTAATCACATTCACTAGAAGTATCTATTAAAAAAGGATTGATAAAAAAAGTACCTTATCATAATATTGTTTCGACATCGTCATTTTGAAAACTTTTGTAATGAATACGACTTATGCATACTTGCAACAACCTAATACATTACTTAGCTTTCAGTCGGAACTTGTGAATACCATGACAACAGAGAAACAATTCACTGTTAAGACTTTGTCCGGTAAGGTACATTATGAAATACGGAAACTGAAACCTGAAAATTATACTCTGTCGACATATTGGAAAACACGAGATTTTAAAATGATTAGAGGATTTAACTACTAAAAGTCGTTTCTTAAATATAAGCAAACTAATAATTATTCTTTATATATACCATTTGTTTTAATCTAGCTTTCAGTACTAGATTATTATTGTTAGGGATAAATCCCAAAGATTTTCACTGTGTCTTTTATTCATATCCATTGTAGGATGTATTGATATCCATGTAATCGTAACTCCAAAAAATATATTGCTATTTTAGGTAGCAGAGCTTTGTCTATCTCCTTGACAATTACACATCACTGTTGGTTGAAAATTAGGCTGTAATGAAGTTAAACAAAACTCTAAGTCTGTAAAACTGTTAGATGGAGCACTAGTACCAAAATATATCCAGTATGAAAGTGAAGACACACAGAACTATCATACACTAACGACTATTTTTAATTTATTCATAATTTGCGTAGATTTACTTTAGAAGTTAACCGACTGCTAGGTTATAATATTTATTTTGAAGGCAAATATGACTTTTAAGAAAATTTTATTGAAGACATTGTTATATACAACGGAAAACATGTCTCTTGAGAAGATTTCTTACTAAAAATTCACTTATTTAAGAAGTTATGAGTTATTTTCTGTTAATAAATACCTGAATAGAATATTCAGGTATTCGTGCGGTTGATTAACTCTTCATTCATTGGTGAATTATTCTATCTATAATACCTTTCTCTATACAGCCATGATGAGCATCGATTAGCTCACCTTCCTGATAGATGACAATCATAACAGCAATTTGCTTTCAAAAGTTTAACCGAATACGTCTTTTGTGTACTTCATTTCTGCATGAACACATTTCTAAACAATAGCTGTCGTAAACTAGGAAAAAGCAATTTGTCTATTTTGAGAACATTTATCTCCATATATATATATATACAAGCTATTTGTAACAGTAACAACAAAATGTGCTGATAAAAAGATGATTATTATTTCGCCCACTTTGACCTTTTTCCTTCTTTTTCTTCACCTTTTGTAAAACATTTCCACTTTTTTATGAAGTACTACAGTTTTAGAAATATAACGAAATCGAATAAAAGCAGAATTTTCACAGTTCAGTTAACTTGTCCCAAGAGTTAGCTCATTATGAATATTATTTTAGTCTTTGTTAACTCAAATATTTATCTTTTTCAGTCTATGGTTTTTTTCTCTACTCAACTCTCAGATTTCTCCTATTCATTTAAAAACTTTATCACCTTGATATGTGTATTGTAACAGACACAAATTAAAGGAGGCGTGTTTGCATTGAATTCGAAGATATTTAAAGGGAGAAAAGTATGTATCTTCGATGACAATGTTTATATAACTCTTTTATATAGATGTAGGTTCAGCTATTTTTTACGGCTTTCCGTCTACCCTTATAAGAAACATATAGTTTATGCAGCTAAAAGTTAACATAGCATGTTTTATTTTTTCAAGACTTTTATCCAAAATTTAGATTATCTTTCGGACTAGTAATATTCCCAGTGTCGAAGTTACTAGTTTGTTTCTTTTGAGGCTTCATTTATAACTACTGCTTATATGTTAAATCCGTGGATTTGAAAAAAATTTAGTTGCATTATTTGTCATCATTTCTTTGCATGCATTAACTTGAATCCTTCGTTCTTGCAATAAGTTGGCTTTTACCGAAAAACTATGGTGAATTTTGTAAACACCCGCTTTCATACATGAATTTTGAATTTGAAGTGGATAGGGGAAATATTGATGAATCACACGTAAAACGGTGAATTTAAAAGTCTTGGAATAGACATAGGTATGGGAAGTCAGAAACTTAATTTAAGAGCGATGGTCTTATATACTTGATACATTGGTTAACCACATCAACAAACTGAAATGAATTTAATACCTTCTTTCTTAAAAATTATAAGTTAATAGATAGGTATTCAAAGTACCAACTCAATCATTCTATCAGTTAACTGTATATCACAGTCTCATAGCACTGGAACGATATATAGACAATACAACCGACAAAGTTCATCTCTGGATAACCTTCAGTTTTTCACTACCCCGTTAATTTCTACGCTACTAGTCTCACCTACATAAATTTAGTGTTTTCTGCATTTGTTTATTTTCTTAAACTAAGTGATATGCAGAAAGACCAATGGAAACTTAAAATAAACACCTAACGTTTTGCAAAATCCCAGTTGATTCGAAATACAAGTAACCAGTGTAACGAATGATTTTGGCGATGTATTTGTCCAAATATCATTAGCTATTACACCGATAACTGAGTGAATATTAGGCAATGAGATAACATAAGTTAAATCCCATGATCGTTTACGCTGTACTTTATGTAGTCATTACTCCTCCGTAAATTTGATTTAAATATTAACTGGGAAAAAATAGTTTTGTGAGCATCTCCGTAATCCGTTATAATTCTGTTGAGGCAAAACTGTGTAAAAGACTGGTTTCTTTCAACAAACGTAACTGTTGAGTTGTGATAGCCTACATGCGTTTGGTTTAAATACATTACACTGTGTTTGAAAAAGGGACTATTTAGGTCGTCCTTATAATTTTTTCTCAATTCTTGGATAAATTAAAATGATATAAAGTGCTTTAAATCTCTTTGATGTTAAAAGTTTAATATTTGAGTCTATCCACCAATGGAAATGAGTATTTAAGCTAATCGATGCGGTCGCAAGATGAAGTGACGCTAAAATCTCTATCTTTTCTTTACTTTTACATATTAGGTCATCACTTCTCACCTCATCAACAACAATCACTCTCACAACCACCACAAGCATATAACCAACAGAACAATATCAGTGAGTCATGCATCAGCTTTTGTGACTGTGTGTATGCATCTGAAAGTGGTAACGCAGCCAGTTCCGGATCTTATATAAATCCTAACAAGCTTTATTGTGTAATCATTCCAGTTCAGGAGGAAATTGTTCTTCTTTAAGAAAACCGTTTGATAACACCAATCAGAATGAAATACTTACTGGTCCAGCAGTAAACCAACAACAGGAAACAAGACCATTTGATGAAATCATATCGAATGTGACAACTACACCTCAGTTACCATTCAATGTTGACTTACTTCAGTCATCCCAGCTGATGGGTGAAAATACAGAACTAATTATGAATGCATCACATTTATGAAGATGTTTGTATCCATTTTCGCAAGTTTTGAAGCTGTATCAGGAAGGTAATTAATTTAAAGTGATGTTGCTTTCCCTTTAAAGTGATGAAGCTTATTATCTATCTTTAAATACTGACCAAACTTTTACTATGAAAGACAAAAATAAACAATAGGATAATGGGGAACTAAATGGTAAGACTCATCCACTCACACTCTTGATGCTTAAATGTTCTTCAGCGTCATTTCACGCGGTAAAGTAAGTGTGTTGATGTAGCCTAACTTTGATACATTCTTACCTCTCCTACTATACTTTTTCTTACTTACTTTGTAAATTGATTTTACTACTCATTATCAAAAAATGAGTTTCTTATGACAGTATGGTTTTATCAGAATTAATGATATTCATAATATGGACAAAAGAATGTTTTGTTAATCCACCCTGTTCTTGTATACCTTATTATCTGAGAACAACTGGAAAGTTGAAGGTATGATTCGATATGAGAGGTGTTATGAATATTATTTTGAAAACTTATCTTTTAAAAAATTTCACCGTTCCGTAACTAAAATGAATGTCATTACATCTATAATCAGGTGGTATTAGTTGGCATAAATTTAATATTAGAAATGTATTCATTTGCATTTTTTCCTAAAGGTTAGTAAGTATTCCTGAAAACCACAATAACGTCTATAAAAGTAGGTGACGTCATGTTTGGCAATTAACAAGCTTGCAGAGTCACTTTTTTCTTCACCAGTTCAGAGATTCATCTTGTAACTTGACAGCCACAAACACCTTTGTCTACTAGAATAGGCTATGATAACACACATTGAGTATTTGGCAAATAACTTGTGAATCATTCTACTTGTGGTGTTTTTTAAATATTAGACAGTTGTAAGACTTCAGAAATAGCCAGTGGAGTACATAAAAGTATGGAACTTTCACATAACTGATTACCCTTACATTTAAAGCATCAGATATGTAAATGCAAACAACCAGGTAGGATGTGGTAACGTTAAGGCTTCTGGAAGAAGATGAGTCAGTTTTAACGAATGAAAATTTAACATGAATTAAAATAGCCATATAGTGCCAAACTGAGTTGGTATACAGTACTGAATAACGCGAACTTGTGGTACTTTTGGTTCAAAACCATTAACTGTCCTATATAGCCAAGGAAGAAGTATGCTTTGTACTTCTTTTCTCATTGCTGGTAAATAGAAAGGATTGAAATGATTTACTATTCTGTCAAGGTCTTTGCTATCTAATATGGTATTCTATTCAGTAGAAATGTAAATATGTCGATTGATCTGGGAAAATACCTTTTTTCGAAACTACTGTACATGGCAATATTTTAAACGGCTAGGCATATTCATAAAAGTAGTGAGTCTGCTGCCTTCAACTTTAATTTCATTGAACATGGCACTGTTGTTCACATCGAAAAAAATTTGGGTCTCACAATAAACAATGAGAATCACCCCTGAAGGTCTATTTACAAAATTTCTGAGCTTAGATTAAAAATAATCAGCTGGGTCATTACAAATTAGTTGGCTTGATATATATTAGTCATTATGACGCTTGTGATCCATCCATCCAAATCAACATAGGACCGAGCTTTACTGCTTAACAATCCAAGTAACAATTGGGTAAAACGGCAGTGAGGTGAGAGATGAGGATAAGAAAATGCAGTCAAAAGAAATATATAGTACGAAAAGAGAGAAAGGAAGAATGAGAAAATGATGAGATCCAGCGTAGCATCGTTAAGATGAGGATAATATGTGTATACATCTGCGCCACTGACATCGGTTCTGGGCAATGCCATCACCTAGAGTCTACAGCCACTAATTCCTCTTGTCCCGCCGACCCCAACCACCTAGTCTGCATCACCCCCACCCCACATGGCTCAAAACAACAGTCACAGACTTCATACATTGATGCCATGTTTCAGTCTGGCCACCTCAGGCCATTTTCCAGTCTGGACCTACTTCGACCAACATTGTGTGATCAGACAATTGGCGACTGGGCATACGTAACATGTGTCCCAACCAGCCATCTCAGTCAATGAAGGTTCACAACCTCGTCAACCGACTTACCTCTACTCCCTAAAACTTTGCACCTGACTTCTGCGTTAGTCACGTGGTGACACCGCAGAATACAGCCTATACCACAAAGGTAACAGTGGTCAAACACCTGAAGCCTTCTCATGTTTGCCACCTTCAATGGCCATGTTTCACAGCCATACGGTAAAACAGAGCGGACTGCTGTGTAGCACAGCCACCTTTGATGAACAACTGGATATGAAGGCGGTGGCGCTACGGGTGGTGTAAGTTGGCGGAAGCCAACCGAGCTGTTTGTATTTGTGCAGAGATTTCACTGGCCACTGAGCCATCAGAGCTGATCCCGCTTCCCAGGTGTGTGAAGTGGTTGACTCACTCAACCACTACACTCCCTATTGTTAGCCGGGGCACCGCTGAAAACCAATCCTGGAGCAACAATTTGCATTTGGGTGGCAAAAACGCAACCCAAACATTCTCAATTTGCTACTCAAAGTTTTCAGAAGACTCTGTATCTTGTCACCGTCTTCATCCAACAGGACATTGTCATCTGTATATTCTGGGTCTAAAGAAAATTTTCCCGCCTGTGATAATTCTCGTGTCAAAACTCCTTCTACTTGATTACATTCTTTTAAAACCCTATCACAATAAAAGCATTCCTAACGGCAATTATCACGTTTTAGTTGAGTAGCTGTGTTAGATTTACTACTAAATATGAGTAAACTTCTGTGTTAATTCATCGTAATACATTTCTTCACGGCAGACTGAAACTACAAAAAACAGACATTACTTCATGACTAGTAGTCTCACTTCCAGGAAGTGTAATCAATAATCTATCCTTAGAGTTTTCGAGGAAACTTAAACATTTTATGAAATCATGTGAACTTTTGACTAAATCACTGACAGACATGTTTTTAGGACCAAAAGTTTTTATAAAGCGAATGATGAGTTAGTGTTGTCCTACTATGCCACAGTACTATATACATCGAATAAATCATTACTTACTCACTGGCTTTTGGAAGGCACAAAACTTCAGTTTTCCAGTGTGATGAACTTTATCGTAAGGCATACAAACACATGAAGAGAAATTCAATGATATTATCCTTATCTAGATAAATTACAGAAGCAGTAATGCAGATAGTGGAAGCCATCATGAAACCGAAAATTTGGATCCACAACGTGGACGATACTTTTGTTATAATTAAGAAAGATGATTTAGAAGACATTAACAGCTTGATCAACAAAGTTTTCAGTGAAATTAAATTCACAGTTAAGAAGGACTTGAATAACAAACTGCCATTTCTGAATGTTTTAGACAGCAAAACCAATGCCGGGAAATCGGAAACGCACATGTACAGGAGGTCCACACACATTATTTAAATCTTCAACTATAGTAGCAACAACGCACAAAATTCAAACAAGCAAGAATGGACTACAGTATAATAACTTCACAGGAAAACGAGTCAGTTACTTGATATATATCCTAATAAGGAACGACTACCCACGAAACGTTATCAGAAGACGCTGATCCCGTTCATCATTAACTAAAAAATCATCCACAGAAATCAACAGGCGGATCATCCTACCTTAAATAAAGAATATATCACAGATCACTTCAAGAATACTGAGACCACTTGGAATTGGCGCGTCTCATAAGCCAAACGATTCCCTTCAAACAATAATATGGAGACCAAAGGACGCAACAGCCGAAGAAGGCCAACCAAACATTATTTGCAAAATCAACCCCAACGTTTGCGATCACCACTACACTGAACTATACAGTCAATGACACATTAGCCATAAACCATTTCGTTACGACAAGCTACTGAGTCACTCACGGGGAAATCAGGATGGCTGACTTCATGAAGAAGTTGGTGCTGATATTGTCTAGAAGTATATTTATAGTTTCACGATAAAAGAACCCAGCTCAGAGAACACAAAGTGACCATGAAATTTGTTTATACAAGTACTAGTAATTAGATGTACGCCAAAATTAGTGTACTGCAGTTGGTACTTTTGTCCATAAAACAAAACTAGTATATAACTCCCCTACTTCCTGGAATATAGAAAGGAAATACTATATTTGGTAAGTTGCTCAAGAGTTGTTGTGAAATTCCACTGAGAAAAGGGTAGCCAATAAAAACACGGTAAAATAAATTTAGTGCTACTTCTGATTTCTGCCTAGGCATCAAGTTAAGGAAGTATTTCTTGTAAATCAAGGACACTCCTCAAATATACAATATTTTTTATAAAAGTCGAGACGCTGTCTTGAACTGTGAAATTAACTGTGATAACAAGGCTAAAAGTTTCATATTCAAGTGTGGAGTATTTTTGGCCAACAAAATAAAGATTGTAAAATAAACTTTAAAAAATGTACCCACAACTGTAACCGTATGTTTTCTACTTAGGTGAATGTAACTGTGTTCAGAAAGTTATTCTGCAATACAAAACGCATTATGCATGCTTAAGACGATTACTAGAACCGAATATATCAATATATGTCAAAAGCAAAAGAAGTTTTTACTTCTCGCGTGCATCACTATAACATAAAGTCAAAGTGGATCTCAAATCTTTGAAATATATTGAAAACTGCCCTGAACTATGTGTACTTAGTTGTCATTTTTCGCAACTTATTCCTGGGATTATTGGTTGATGAACAAGTTGTAACAAGTTGTACAAAAATGAGTAGTCATAGAGTTTCTTACATGAGCTTTAGTTTTTGAACAGTGGTTTAGAATAACCATCCTGGGTAACATTTAGGTGAAGTTTCACATTACTAAATGTATATGATTTTCACCTTGAGCATATCCAAAACTATCTAGAATGCTCCAAACTAGATTATGTTCACATCGTGTCATATCTTCTTGAAGACCTTTAGGACTATATTTTCATGCTAAGTTTAATACTTTCTGGATGTGAAATATTATAAGATATTCCCGTTTTTAAAATAAGATGATAAGTGTTATGTGATAGAGTCATACCATGTGTTGTTGACTCGTTGTATTATTATTGTTGTTATTATTATTATTATTCCCTTGGGTTCCTAGTCCAAAATAGGGCTTCACCAGCACACCTGCATTGCACTCACTTCTCTGCAGTCTCCTTAACCTGGCGACACAACTACCCACAAGATTTCATTTCTTACTCACACGATCTCCTCATGTCACACTCACCTCGAACACCCAACTCGTCGCTTCCCCTTTGCACTCCACATGAGCACCTAGCCTGGCGCGTGATGTCCCCAGTCAACCTTCTCAGTGTATGCAAATCCAATCAGTCTCCACTTTCTGCTTCTGCATATTTGTTTGTGATAGTTTTTGGCAGGTTTATTGCCAGCCAGCCAGCCAGCCAGGCTTCCTTGTTGCTTATTCTTTCTGGCTATCTATCTGGTCGGTCTTGAGTATCGAGTGAGCATGGACGGGAGCAGTTGATGAATGTCTGTAGTTTGTTGGAAATGCTTTCCGTTACGCGCCAATTTTCCGAACTATATAGAAGCACCAACTTGACTAATTTAGTGTTGAAATCCTGATCTTGTTCTTTGTGCTGAGTGGAATGCAGTAGATCTCCAGACTGATTTTAGATTAGTGAAAGCTTGTCTTGCTTTTCCGGTCCTGATTATGACATCGTCATGTGTGCCTGTGCTGCCTGTAGTTGAAACGATGCTTTCTAGGTAGGTGAAAGAGACATATATTCAGTGTTGTTTAATAGTTGATGAAAATTATGTTTTATTTGGATTCTTATGATATTCCAGTGCATATTAATTATATTTTTAATGTTGTAATTATTTTTCTAGATCAAATAAAGGTCAATGTAACATTAATCAAAGCAAAAATATGCATAATACAACAGAAATCCTCCTTGAATGTAATCATGCATTATTCCTAGGACTAGTGATTTCTTGGTATCCACATGATTTTCTTAATCAATGGATTTATATATTAAGCAGTGTGGATGCATTTATTATTATGACTTTTCAGATTAGCACTCTTTACGCACACAATCACACAAAGACCTTCTGGTACACACATTTTTGCACATAAAACCAAACATGTATACTCTTTCACTGATTGTCTCATCAACTGCACATAATATGCCATTTGAAAACATTATTATTCAGAATGTCTTGTTTCCTTTTAATCATTTTATCAGTTGTTCAGTAAATACCCGTTATGTGGTCTTTCACTTAGTTGTTCTATGATGTCTTACTTGTTTAACTTCTTTTCTTGCTCGTATTCTCTCTTCATCTAAGCTTTTCACGTGCTATCATTGTATGTAGAATAAACTACTAGTCCCATATTTTATATAGAACACTGAAATTAACTGTAACTCTGTATACTTCCATAGAACTATATTTCCATCATGAGTATTATTATCACTATTATTACAAGTATAGTTTTGTGTGGAAAATGAGTTTATGAAATAAATTGATGTGAATAATTTTTGATGCCTTGAAAATATGATGAAAATTAGCTTTCAAAGTCTAATTTTTATTCACTTTGTGATAAAAATGTTAAAAGTGATTATTATACAAGTATGGATTTATTAGTAGTATTCTGAATAGAATAAATACTCAAGAAACTCGACTGTTATTTTTTAACTTGTACGATTAAAAATAATTGAAGTCGAAAGAACTTCTTTATGCGTAGACTGTAAAATTCCAAGTGACTCTGATATATATATATATATATCGTAGAATTTCAGACATCAGGGATATTCAAAAGAAGGTCAAGAATCGAATCATGTATCAATACTTTATTTACTGGAAAATATAGATGACTGATAAACCCCTTGTAAGAAACTTATCAGTACCAGTAATTGATGACCGTTAGTACATTCCTATCTAGCTAAAAGACTATTAATTTCTATGAAATGATTCCTAGGTAAATCACTTGCATGTCTAATACTTTCTCTCTGACCTGTATGGTAAATAATGCAACTTTTCTCCTAGTTTTTTAGCACTTGACCAATAAAACCATGTAAACGAGACGGGATATGAAGTGAAACGCTGTAAAACCATTAATAATAAACACATATCGTACAATTCAAATTACAAAGCCTCTAAACAAGCTTTATTTAGACTCGGAATTTAGAGTTCGCTTGAAAATTATTCAAAACTTATATTCACTTCTTACTTTTCAAACTTATGGACAGTTCACATAACAAAACTTCAAAATCAAAATATTTCACAAGGCTTAAGAAGTCTACTGGTTCAAATAAATAAACGTAATTTCTGGCTACCGCCTATCGCAGAAAACACTTATGTTGGTCAGTTCTCTCGAAAGATTTAAGTTTACATCATTTTTCTCCAAAGTACGGCCAACTTCTATAGGCTAAATTGATGTCATTACTTCATTATTGTTATACTTTTGATTAGAATATGAAGTGTTAAATACAATTTTATTTTTGGAAACCAGTTTGTGTTAAATTTACGACTTCTTAGCAAATAAAGCTATAAGAAAGAAGTTTTCAATGGCTTACATTTTTACTAATAATGGTAAAGTCTGAAATGTAGCATTTCACTCTTAAGTGACTTTCTAAGATAGAAATGGTGGCGTAGTGGCATCTACTTTTAAGGATGCAAATGAATATTGTGTACATCAGTGTCAGAAGTTATAGAGATCAACTGGTGAAGATTTGGGCAAAACATTCAACAATACCGCAAACGAATTAATAACGTAAGAACAGTTCGGTATAAGATGCAGAACAAGGGATTATCCGCAAATACATACTAGACGGTAAGATTTAGTATTTAACCAGTAATATGTGTATTTTCTCAATAACCAATAACTGGCTTTTTCAAAATTGGTAATCATTTCAGTTTAAATGATGAGTAGAATCAAAATATATTTTGATTTCTTATTGTTTTCGATTCATTCATGCATTAACTGGCTGTAACGCTTTGAATTCTAACAATTTTAGCCATTTCAACATTAAAAAAGTGTTCCTATATTGATCAGAATCAGTTATCATCAAAAACTTGCCGCATGATTAATAATATTAGGAAAACCAAACTCTTACATGGTGCTTACCACCTGCTTAGACCACCTGTACCCTTTTAAGTAATCCGCTCGGTTACTTGAAAAAGTAAAAGTGACGGGCGTAGGAATGTCGTATCTTCAAGCTCAGAATGAACCTTTTTTGAGTTACTGAAGTTTTGAAGTGAAACTCAATGTTAGTAAGCACATTTTAATGCTTAATGTACCAGTAACAACAGAAAATATTTATTCATTACGTTACTTAGCAACTGAATACTGCATAGTTAGATTGATTTATCAGGAACTACGTCAGTGACATTAACAATCATTCTCTAAGATTTTAATTCTTCCTCGTTATGTAGTGATCTATCGTCTTTCTTATCGGCAAATCATTATTCTTAGGTAGTCAAACACATTGTTGTTGCATGAAATCAATTTTCAATCATGTTACTGGAAAAAAAATTACACATGGAGACACAAAAATTACAGACATTGAGAAGTAGGTTCAAAGCACTAGACTGGGGAAAAAGAAGAAATTGATTTGTGAAAGATTAATCATAAAAGTAATCGGAAATAATCTAAATGAAATCTACTCGATAAGGATAATCGAATTGGTTGTTAGAAACTCAACAGTTTACTTTTGAAAGTAAAATTTAAAACAAATACTTCATCTCAGAGAAAATTTTACGTTACCATGTTACTCTGAACAATTTTTTTCTTAACACCAGCATATTTCAATGAGTGCAAGTTGATTTTAGATTATTCTTTATTTCGTATATATAAATATATCTGATTTCATATAGTGGATTGCACATAAGTCATCCGAAACCGGAGTTCTTTTTATTCCAATACACCCAGGTAATGACTAGTCCCTATAGTATGGGACTCAGCAGTGCGCACCCACAACCCCGCCAGGGGTCGAATCCACGACCTTCGGGTTTCGTGGTCAGCAGGTTACCATTGAGCCACTGTGTCAAAACCAAGTGGTCCATATTTCCAACTTCTGTTAGCTCACGATATAGCGAAACCGCCACCCAATGCCATCGTTGAGTAACTGTCCTTACGACCATCATCCTTTGCCCCCACAGGTCACGACTTCTCATTGGAACTTCGGGAACCTCGCGGTTTGAATCCAATGCTCCAAGGTTTTCTTTTTCCTCCAACTGATGTCAGTCTACGATGAATAAACACTTGAAATATTTCCAAATCCCCATAACTCCCTCATAATCTCTATCGATAACAGAGAAACAAAGTAGAAGCTTGTACTGAACTGCTTCATCCTAAGTTGCGACATTTCTCAACAGCACAAAATAGGAATATAACAATAAAAGAACGACAAAAAAGTAGACAACAGCATATGAGAGAGTAGCTGATAAATAAATGAAGGATAGCTAGAACACTTCAAGTTACAATGGCGAGAACTGTTTGTACTCTGAGCTTTGAGGCTTATTCTTCCACGTTTTATCGCCTAAATAGGTGACTTCACTAGCATTTAATTCATTTCGAACTTTTGATAGTCATAAACAAGGAAAACATAGGCAATACAATGATCAGTTGTGAGGCATAACACCAACTATTGTTTTTTGAAATTCTGAGGATAACAGCTAAATTATATTGCAGTAGATTTTAATGGCCTGTGATACATAAACATAGACCTAAAATTCAAAATCAAATGAAGTTTAAAAATGGTCAAAGTAATGAAATCACAACAATGGCAGATTCTGCATGCCTTAATTTCTTCGCTGAATGGTGATTTATAAATAGAACCATGCAATCTTAAGCTAACAAAATACATTGTTTATTATTATTCGTATTGTTTGCAATTTAGAACCTCGCTCAGGTAACAAGTTCAACAGTTATTGAGGGTCCTAAGCTCAGGTAAAGAGGGAAGGTTGGGCGTAGGGCTAGCAAACCAACCCTGTAAAACCAATTCAATAGCTAAAAAAACTTCATTGCACAAACAAAATATAAAAACAAAATCGAACTCATTCCTCACTGGAATCGGAGAGAAGAAATGACATCAGTTGGTGAAAGCCTTCAGGAAGCCACTTCGCCGATGTGTCTCCTCTCCTCTCGATGAAAGCAAAAATAAGAATGGGGACATGGAATGTCCACACTATGTCTGAAACTAACAGCGCTGCTCAGATTGCAAAATAAATAAAAGTCATGATACAGAAGTGCTTGGAATCTACGAAAGCAGATGGAATGGAAGTTGACTCTACAAACTGTCAACTGGAGAGAAAATAATCTACAGAGATGTTATCACCCAGACGACAATCACGACAACCACGACCACAATGAGTTTTGCAGTGGCTATCATAATGTCCCCAGGAGCATCGAAGACTCTCATGTACTGGGAACAAACCTCTTCCAGAATCATGACAGCAAGATGGATTCAACTCAAAGGATGGAAAGTCAATCATACAGTGCTACACTACATACCTACAAATAATGCAGATGAAGAGAAGAAGGAGGAATTCTACAGACAACAGCAATCAGTAGTGGACAAGATCCCATGCAAGATGGCCACATCAAAATTCTAATGAGGGGATGGCGTGGGTGCCAAACTGGGAGCAGACAACACAGGAAGAGAACTGATCATGGGTCGAGAGGCACTCAGAGAAATAAATCACAGTGGTGAAGTCTTTGCAGATTTCTGCACATCTAACGATTCGGTGATTGGAAGCAGTATCTACAAACACGAGGATATTCACAAAGCGATATGGATTTCACCAGACACTGGGACACACTGAAATGCGATCGACTTCATCTGAATGTGAAGAAAGTGGAGAGGCAGCCTACTGGACACAAGATGAAGAAGAGGAGCAGGTGTAGGTTCACACCACTCACTATCTAGTGTAAGAAACCTACCTTCAGAATCAAGTTGAAAGCCCTCACAAAAGTTGGTCACAGACCACAGTTCAAGTCCAACAACCAGAACAGAGAGTGAAGGATGAAACTACAAGGGACATGTTCATGTCAGTCAGCCAACAAGACAGAATGAGAGACATTAAGCAACATGCCTGAAGAAATCTGGGTGGAATAACACTGGAATACTCTGAATTCCGTGTGGAAAGAAACCTACATAAGCGTATTGGGAAGGAAGAGGAAAGAAGACAGAGAAGGGATCTCGACGAACACATGAGAGCTGATAGAGGAGGGAGAGGAGGATGGTGAAGCAGAAGATGAACCAGTGCAGTGCAGTGCAGTGCAGTGCAGTGCAGTGGAGTGCAGAGATGAGCAGCGAAAACAAGAAACGAACACAACCTATAAAACAGCACAGTGGACGAAGAAGTGAAGAAGGGTGTGCGCAAAGACAAAAGACACTTCTACGACACACTGGCATGTGGAGCAGAACAGGCTGCTGGTAGGAGAGACCTGACAGCACTGTATCCAATAACCAGCCTACTATCTGGGAAGAGATCAACACAGCACAAATGAAACCAATGAAAGAGATTGAAGGGGAACTGGTTACCATGAAATAGGAGGAGCAGAGGAAGCAATAGTCCTACCACTCCAAATAACTCTTGAATCGACCGCCTCCACAACCACCCGCAACTTGTCCAGAGATGCCACCAGCAACGTCAGAACTACAAGTGAACACAGGTATTCGGACGAAAGCAGAAGTGAAGACCAGAATGCCATGAAGTTACTGAAATCCTGGGAGGCAGTAGGACTAGATGGAATTTCTCCGTAAGCAGTGAAAACAGACGCCGAGACAACAGCGGTGGACACGATCACATCATAATTGCAGAAGTTCTGCAAGGAGGTAGGGAAATGTACTTGAGGATTAGAAGCAGGGCTACCTTGTTAAACGTCCAAAGAAGGGAGATACAAGTCTTTGCAAGAACTAGTGCGTAATGATCCTGCTGTCCACCCAAAGCAAGCAAAATATTATGCAGCATCATTATGGAAAGACAAGAACATGCTCTCCGTTCGAAATGGCAACAGGAACAGGAGCAGGCAGGCAAGCAGACAGGTAGGCAGGCAGGCAGGCAGACAGACAGGCAGACAGGCAGGCAGACAGATAGGCAGGCAGGCTGTCTGGCTGTCTGGCTGGCTTCATGAAGAGCAAGTCATGTCCTGATCAAATTGAAACGTTACGCATCATTCCAGAACAGAGTATAGAATGGCAATCAATTGGATCTTCACATCAACTTCATCGATTTTGAAAAGGCCTTCGAAAGCGTCGACTGAGAAGTAATTTGACAGCTGATTCAACACCACGGTTTTAGTACCACAAACCGTTTTTCAAACCCACTCATTAGTTACACGAAGAGGCCACATTCCAGGTGATCCATAATGGATGGCTGAGTGAAGCCTTCGAAGTGAAGTGAGGACAGGAGAGAGGAGTAAGAGGAGATTGTCGCCTACTATCACTGATGGTCTTTCTGATTGTGGTAGACTGGATGATGTAGCCAATCATGAGGAGCAAGAAGATGGGCATACGCTGTTTGACCGGTGAATAGACACTAGAAGATTTGGATTTCGCCCATGATGATGATTTATGTGTAATGTTGCTCAAACTGGAAGATCTACAGGTAAAAACTAACAGGTTGGCCGAAGGGGCGAGATGAGGTAGCGAAGATGTGACTTCCTTCAGGTGAACACAGAAAAGACGGAGGTGATGAAGATGCTCAAACAACAAAAGCATGGTCAACAAGCACCAATCAACATGAACTGGAGAAACCTGAAAGAAGTTGTCTCTTTCAAATACAGGCAGCATAGGCACACATGAGGATGTAAAAACCATGATCGGAAAAACAGCAAGACAGGCTTTCACTAATCTGAAATCAGTGTGTAGGTCTACTGCACTCCACTCAGCACAAAGCCTGAACAACAGCCAGATCTTCAACACCAGTGTCAGTCAAGTCAGTGCTGTTTTATGGTTCAGAAACTTGGTGCATAACGGAAAGCATTTCCAACAAACTACAGACATTCATCAACTGCTCCCGTCCATGCTCACTCGATAGTCAAGACCGACCAGATAGATAGCCAGAAAGAATAAGCAACAAGGAAGCCTGGCTGGCTGGCTGGCTGGCAACAAACCTGCCAAAAACCTCTCACCAACAAATATGCAGAAG